GATGTAAACGTATCCATCTGCTTTCGTTTGCTTGACTGTCGGCTTATCTTTTGCCAGCAATATATGCTTAATTGTGCGACTGGATTTTCATCACCATCCCCCCCCATCGTCTTTCAGGAGGAGATGCCGGAGAACGCTGAACGTGGTCTGGTGGTGGCCGCCTTTGCCTCCCGAACCAACGTCCTCTCTACACCTCTGCCCTGCAATCGCGCCGTCACCTTCTCGGAGTCTGATAATAGCACCAGCTCCAGGGCTATCACTATTGATTCTGCCAGTGGTAAACCCGCTTGGGTAAGCGTTTCACTGATTATCATCTCTCTCTTCACTGACTGCCTTTTAGCTTTGGTGCTGTAGCCGCGCTCTAAAGATTCTTGATTGATGCTCATTTATAGTGACTGACCGATTTAATGACATGTTAATCGAAATTTTGACATTAGGAAGGATAACTCAAGCGTATTAACATAATTTATTATCTTATAGCATAATCCCGGGGTATTTTAACTACGCTGGGGTGCAGACTTTTGTATGAACTTATTGTCAGTTGCCTGCAAAATCCAAACCTGGTAAGTGAATACTTAAGTAGAGTATGGATATATTATGTATAGCGTGTAGGTGCCGCCGTAGATTCAGATATATTTTCTAGAAAAACAAGTCCAAAATTTTCCCTCTTCTTCAATTATGGCATTTTTTTTAGAACCGCGACATGTGCATTCAACTATCATCGTTTATTAATAGTCTTTATGAAGCGTTCACATAGGTCAAATCCATTGCTGCATTTTATGAACAATATATATTGTCTTATTGACGACATAAGGGACTATTTAGTTATCCTTACACCACGAGTGAGTCGTTTTTACACTAAGTCCTCAACGCAGAGAGAACGTTAGATCGGGCAAAATATTCTTCAGGAATAAAAAAAAACAATTTTCAACCGAATGTTAGCCTTTCTTCAAGCGCAGTTGTCAGGCGTAATTTTTAACTATAAGAAAAAAAATTCATTATACACACGTTCTGTTAAGTGTATTTGAATGTGTACTGGTGTCAAAAATCAAAAATCAACGATCAACATCTACGCTATTTAACCAGTCATTTTCTCGATTGTGCTTATACCCACCTTGCCACCTTGCCGTATCTAGACTGCCCTGGCAGTATGCTGCACCATGCTTAATATAACAATGCTGCCAAAGTAATTTTTACTAATTAAAAAAGTACTTCAGGATTTCGGTTAACATTTGGCAAATTTGGTCAACTACTGTATCATAAGTCTAAAAAATCTAGGTATAGACACGTAACTAACTGTGTCTTGGCTAGCACGGAGGTCTGCTTCCATTGCTGCCACACCCTTGCCAGCCGTTTTAAACTGTGGTTCACTGGCGGTTCAAGCGTTTGATCAGGCGTGCGTGCCTACTGATGCGTCAGAAACGGTTACTTACTTAAATGCATATCTGT